TTCGGACAGTGCCATGAGATGCTGAGACGCTGGCAGCGCCGATACAGGGTTGTAACCACTCAACATGAAACCAGCGACGTCATTGTTTTCTTGCTGCTGGTATGACACGAAATTACGTAATGCCGGAAGCATCTTGCAAGAAATGTCAATGTCAGGTTGCAAGTACGTGGCTCCCAAATCGACACACGTACGAGAGAAAACTAAGTCACTCAGTTTGACGACTTATGCACAGAAATTATCACTACGTCAACACCTGTTATGACGATAACATTAATTAATATTTAACGTAAAGAAAACTCACTGTAAATCCAGTATCTTGTGAGACCGCCATCAGAATTAATTTATTACTTTTATAATGTGTGTTGATCTTATATCCAGTCATTATTTATATATCTCGTCACATATAATATTAATATAATAATTAGTAAGGTTCGCAAAAAATATTGTAGATAATTACAACCTTGAAACAGTCATTTCAGACAAATTCTCGTCTACTAAAATCAAAACTATTTTCCTTTTCTTATTTTGCTATACCCCGAATAATTATGTAACCTGTCACACATGATATTATAACTTTATAAATCGTCACAAATGTACGACGAACATAAATTATCCGCGTATCTTGATTAATATGTTACACACAGTAAAATATCAGAATTCTCTTAGCGCAGAACACCGGTGGACCACAGACAGAGACGAAGTGACACAGCTGTTAGCTGTAACACGACTGATGAAGAACGAACACTAGACGAAACGGATGGATACAAAAACAAATAGTTTGTTGAAACTTGCAGCGCCCGACCAATCGTAATCCGTCTACCGAACGAGAGTTGTTTAATTCTAACCAGCATCGCGAATGGGACGCGGGACAACATTGAGCAGAGTGGGAAGGAACACGGACATTGGATCACCGTATCCAGTGTCTGTCCAGGAAGACATCGCCTCGACTTAAAATGTTTCGCGCATTCTTTACAAATTCACCTTTTCTTTTTTAAACGAAACACTTCGGAAAGCGGATTCAAGTCCCACATTTCGAAATTACAAACAGATAATTCTAATTCAAGACGACATTACTTTAGCATTAAGACTCCACGATTATTGACAAAATTAAAAATAACGAGACGGGCATGTAGCATGCATCGAAAATGAGAGATAGTACAACATTTCAGTCTGAAAACCTGAGATAAAGTAGCCACTTTGGAGACCTAAGTGTAGATGGTATGGTAATATTAAAATGAATCTCAAAGAGATGGGGGTGTAAGGATAGGGAATGGATTCCTCTTGCTGACGACTGGGTCCAATGGCTGGCTATTGTGAACACTGTAATGAACATTCTTATGCCATAAAAGACGGGGAGTTTATGACTAGCTGAGGTACTACAAGCTTCTCTACGCGGTCGCTGCTACTGTTGCTAGAATTCCTATTGAGTGAGTCAGTGAGCAGTGGGGCGAAGGGGACCCTACGTAAACAATATAAGGTATCAGTTTACACCTACATACACTTCCAGAGGGCCCCTCTTCCAACGGGAGGTCTTTCCCCTCAAACAAAGGCCCAATATTAACCAATCAACATACACATGTTGAAACATGGGCCACCCACGAGGCTTGAACTGAGACTCGGAAATGATCTGCCTATTAGAATGTTAAGAGACACTGCGATATTACGAGGTCTCTCAAAACCTTTTCTGGGATAAAAAGAAGAATTTCAACATGACCTACTCTGTCGACGTGTTAATGAACATGCAAAGAACTTTAAAAAAAAAATTCAGTTAAGAAAACATTAGTTTTGTAGGATGTAGTTCCGTGTAATCTGGTAGAAAATGACCCGACGTTTCAGAGATGCTGACTGCTTCCATCATCAGGGCGATGAGTAGGTTAGCTAAGTTTTGCAGAACGTAATTTTATTACGGGCGTAGGAGCAACGTGTTGAATGCGTTACAAACAACTCAGTCGAAGTTCAAGTACAGAGCAACCTGGAGAGATACGTTCCGAGTATCTGTCGGATCGTGTGCCTGGTCTGTTTCAGTAACAAGTAAAACGTTACTGAAACAATGTAGTCGCTTATTATGACAGTCCATTGAATATATAATCCGACTGACCAATTTTCTATGTTTTGCCCACGTGACTTATAAATTTAACGGATGTCAAACAGAGAAACAGTAGCAGATATAGATCGCTTTTGAATTACCATATCCGATTATCATCGCCTTGCAATTAGACCAAAGGCGAAGGAAAACAGATTGAAACAAAAAAATATGAAAATATGCATGAAAATATTTTAACATCGCTCAAGAACAGTGCGCGAAAAAAAAGAATAAATAATAAATTTAATTTGTTAAAACAGCCGAAAATGTTCAATGGTTTTGATGTTATTTCCACACTTTATGGATACAAAGGGCTCGAAATTAAGGGCACGTTTTTGCATTTAACGAGCTCTAAAACCTGATACAAATATTTCACAAAATTTATAAGGCTTCATAAGATATTTAAAGATGTAATATTCTCAGTGAGCCTACGACGTATTTTTGAAAAGAAAAGAAAAAAATTCAAATGGATGAATCTGCATAAAACGCGAACGATTGTAAAAGAACCATCAATCTAGAATAAATATCCAAAATCCGTATACTTATAAAACGAAGCCCAATCAAAATAAATTCTGAGACTAAGTTTAACAATTTTGTGGTCGGTAACAGAACAGACTTCGACTGAAGGAGACCATCCCTTCTGCGTTTAATGCATAATAAACCTCATTGTTCCACACGTTAAGTCGTAAAGTGTGGTATGCTATATACATCTGACCCGGGTCAACACCAGGACCCTCCCTGACGTGGCCTGCTAAATAAAAGTGCCTGTTTGTCTTCTGAGGGCATCTGGTAGCACTGATTTTTTCCCCCCCCCCCCCCCAGAAACACAACTTCCGGCACGAATGCCCCTATCTACTACAAATCACTTACGTTTTATTTGTTAAAAGAGCCCATAAATGCCACATTTATGGTGTACTGTGTAGTTTTTGGCGCGCGATTAACAGTGGATTCCAGCTTCAGTAAAAAATGAATAAATATACATTAGACCTCTGATATATTACCGGAGTCAGGTCTCAAATATTTCTTGTTATCTTCAAGGAAATATCTTTAGAACACTGCGTTTGTGATCAGGGCCAGAAATTATCCGCGTTTTATCACAGGAGAATACGCGATTTTGGGTTATTAATTAATCAATTAATTAAAAATATTAATTAATTAATTAAAATTTGTACTATTCAAAAAAATATCATTAGGTTGATAAAATCAGGAAATATGGGATTGGCGGGGCATAAAGAACGCATGGTATATATATATATATGAGAAATACGCACGGAATTTTAGTCAGAAACATGACACACATCTACAAAGGTTGGCCTCTAGAAAACCTGGTTTTAGCTGGATTCTTCTGGTTCAGGGTAGGGTACAGTGGCGAGCTCTTGTGAACACGGTAATGAACATTCTGGTTCAACAGAAGTCTGGTAATTTCTTGACTACTTAAACGACTATCAGCTTCGGAGTGACACGGCCAGCAAATATCAACAAGCCATCCGTGCACTGACCACAGCCTGAACACCAGGAAACAAGGTACAAGTGTCGAAAATCTTGCTGTTGTCGTCGTAGTTAAACTTCAAAGACTATGTTTTCCCAGCTGAACGCTTTCGTCTGTACCAGTGACCCATGGCCTCCGCTGTTTACATTGCATTGATACGGGTGTGTATAGGCGTGGTGGTCCCATGAAAATTTTCCAAACAAATAAAGTGGGCCTTCCTAAATAAACCGTGTTGTTCCTCCGAGGTCAGAAGGAGACTGCCATCCGAAACACGACATTGTCAGGCCAGTCTCTGAGAACAGTAGTCACGTGATAAGAACTCGCCAATCGCGTCATTAGAATGTTTAATGGAATGGAGGTAAAACTCCACACATTCTTAACCGGTGGTAAAGCGAAGAATCCTTGTCTCTGCCAAGAATCAAACCCCGATAGGTCACATTTATTTTAGGTAAAGACGGCCGAAACAGCACTCAGTTTGAGATGGAGGTCGTCGTAAGGCTGGCTTTACCCCTGCCTGCAGAGCTTAAGAACGTCGTGGGAGAGAGGAAAATTGTCGAAGTCCCCGCCATGTTGTGATTTGTGTATCAAGACAGATGAATCTCTGTATACTAAGCTGCCAAAATTTTCACACCCCTGCCTCGGGATCTGAAACACGCGCACTACTGAAAGGCTATGCTTTGTTTCTACGTCTGACTACAAACGTGGAGCTTAAACCATGAAAACCTATAATAATTTTACTTGTTTGTATATGCATGAAACTTTGTCTCAGACATAAACAAATCAATAGTAAGGGAATTAAGGTTTTAGAGGACGGAGGCACGAATAAAAGATTTGAACCCAAGAGCAATGAAGTGACAGGTTAGAGAAAAGTACGTAATGAACATAATTTGTATTCTCGGCCTAATATTATTACGATAATCGAGTAATTGAAGTCGATAAAACGGACGGCGCACATGGAGACATGAAAAAGAAATCATGCAAATTTTTTTTATTACAAACCTGATGTAAAGTGACCACTTACAAGACCTCGGCGTAGATGGCATCATAATAAAACTATCACGTAAACAGGATGTGAAAACGTTGGTAGGATTGATCTGGCTTAAGTCAGTAGACAGTGGTTCTTGTAAACACGGTAATGAAACTTAATGTTCCATAAAAGTTGGTAAATTTATTGATTAGATGAGCAACTGTTAGTTTCTCATTGGATTGTTTCACATAGCCGATTGGTCAGTTACGTCAGTGATTATGAATTTCTACACGTGTCCAGCCTCAGGTTTGGTTAGAATGAGTTAAATTCGCGAGGCGGCAGCGAGAGATTTGGAAATAAAACATGGAGGGACTTCGTGACAGCTGCTGACACCTATCGTCTTATATTGTTTGCTAGCCTTCATCTCTCGGAAAACAAAACACGGGCTAGAAGCGCGTATCGACAATTCGCTCATTTCCTTACCGGAGTCACGAACCACATTCTAACGAAGACACAAACATTTGGCAGTGCAGTCCGGTATAAACGGGACGACGTTTCAGAGATGCTGTCACCATCATCAGGGCGAGCAGATGTGATGATATTTCCCCTAATAATAATGGAGACAGTAAGCATATCTGAAACGTCGATCAATTTCTACCAGACTGCATCCAAAAAAAAAAAGACGCCTTCATCTTCGGTGCTGTGTCAACTTGACATCTCATTTCGTACCTGGAGTCGAATCCTTCATAAACTGACCACGTAACTATTTAAGATATATCTCGCCTTCCATGGGGGTGAACTGAGGGGATGGGACAGGAGAAATGGATGATATTAAAACGGCTCGGGATAGGGTTCCGAAGTAAATTTTGCAAGCATTTCTCATCTCCCCACAACAGAAAATCCTGCCACATAAATGAAAAAAAATGACATTTTCAGACTTCGTGGGGGTGCATTTATAAATTCTACATTTTGGTTTCCACAAACACGGCTCATACGATAGGCAATATGTTAACGCGATCTAAGATTCTTCTAGATCTTTGATAAGGCGAGAGAACGTCTACTAGTCACGAGCTGCAGTGTCAGATTTATGCGTGCAGTCAGCTCAACTCCATCTGACCAACGTGGCGTTTGTTTTAACAAACAAACAAACCCCAAAATGAAAGGGATCCTCTGTGTGAAGTTTCACTCTCAAGTGCGGTCATTAAACACTGGCTTTGGTGGGGGGGCGGGGGGTTGATTTATTGCTGTCTGCCACAGTGCCACAAGACACGCTGAACTAACAACTAACTACAGCATCACAGTTTTTGATGCTTTCAAGTTGCCCCGTTTAACGACAATCTCTGTGACCGACTTTAAAAGCATATGGCGAGCAGAACACGAAACAAGCAATTATCTTCCAAATCCAGACTTATGTTTGTTATTCTTCGGAACATTTTAAATGTTTTTAAAAACATACCTGGGCCCCCTTCTTTTCTGAGAAATCCAATGAATTTTTACCCCCTAAGACTTTGAGAGAGTTATCATCCCACCGCTACATCCAGAAAGTAATTTCTCTGCCTGTAATAACAAAGTGACTGTCACGGGGGGCGGACGGATCAGACATAGACGCGTAGATCCTAAACATATAAAGCATTTCGTCATAAAAAGCTCTCGTCTCCTTGGTGACTTCACTATTTCTGTGTTTGTATGTTACACATATGTGACTATATTCCTACCTCTTCGCTCGCAGTCAAAGCTAACCGCTATGTGCATGTATAAAGTCATAAAAAACCTCCTCCCTGTGGAAACCGACACAAATCGTAACTCTTACTTCTTTTGGAGGACATGACAGCCAGCACCTAAGGCTTCCAAAATACATGCAGTTCAACTGCTAGTTTCGTTCGTAATGTGTTTTCATTCGACCATTTTAATGTTCCCACGAAAACCACAAGCACGCACACATAGTTTCCGGAATGTTCTCTTTTGTTTATTTACGTAAAAACCCACAAGAGAATGGTGCCTAGAAACCCACAAAGTTCAAACACAACAATACGCTTTGGTTATGACCGTTTGTTGGCTGCAATAGAGATGGAGGCACCCGCGTGGGTAACCGCCAACTGTACGTCTAAATGTATCCTTTTCATTGTTGTCCTCGCAATAAGTTAATTTTACAAACAAACAATGCTTTAAGACACTTCAATAAGAAACTAATCAACTCCTAACTAAAGCCTAGTCGTATTCTATTTACAGATTTGAATTTGTTACGTCAAAACGATCCATACAAGTCACATAATTTGTATCTGATTAATAAATGGGGCAGGAACCATCTTCAACAGCTGATGGTCGATATCCTCCCCCCACCCTCCGCAAAGGTTCATTACCGTGTTCACAAAATCTCGCCACTGAACACTATCCCGAGTCAAGGCGTTATAATTCAAAATTTAAAATGTAAAATTCGTGAAGATTACCTCCCCTATAATATTTACAGTGCCACTGTGTTTCAGAATGTGTGTCTGTGCCCCCCACCTTCCCCCAGGGACATGTACAGCTGTACCGCGAAGTTTATCATACACTGCTGTGTGTTTGTATGGAATAGCCAAGGTTTGGGAAATAAGAAAATAATCACGCGAATAAGATTATAAGCACACACACAGGAGAGTATAAAAATAAATCCCAACTGCGAAAACCAGATAAGAAAGAATACGAACTCGGGAAATAAGGTTCTCATATTTTATCAGTGAGAACGAAATTCAAAAAAGTAAAATGGAATGGATGAAATATTACCAAAGACTGTAATGAAATAAAGGTGGGAATAAAAATGACAACTTGACTTGACTTTCATAAAGTCAGAAGTATAATAAACCCTGCAAAAGTTTCGTAGTTTCAAATTACAAATGAATTTTTAAACAATATATAGAAATAAGAAAAAGGGATTTTGTCGTAGACTGTTTCGCATCTCGAATTATCACCCCCTGAATTTTCCATAAGTTCGGGCTTGCACTGATGAAAACAAAATAAACTTCGTGTTTGTGTTTAAGACACCAAAACTCAAACCCCCTTCACCAGAAAATGATGACGGTAATAACACCAGACCTGGAATTCCCGTAAGTTACCATTAGTCAAACAACTTTCTTGAATACTTATGCAAAATATTTCTGAACAGAATTTTGGGACCAATTTATCTTGCCCGAGGTATTATGGCAATGTCAGTATCTTCCTCAAAACGGACGAAGTTCACTTGATTTAATACCAACCCCTAATCACTACTCAAAATTACCCTAACAAACATCAACTGAAATTTCTTAAACTCAGCAGCTGATACAGCATTATGAAAAAGGAACATATGTTCAGCTGTCCCTGCACTAAACCTCCAAAATGACCTAGACTGTTCCGTTACTAGAAACAAAGAAAAATGTGAAAACTCTCTTTTAGAGACTTTCAATAGATTTCAGTCATTTACCTGGTACACACGACGAGACATATTCTTCTTTTCACAACGCCAAGCGACATCTTAAACCCGTCGCCAGTAACAGCAACGCAACTCCGTCAAGCTTATCGTCCATCTGCTTCCATCCAGTTATACCTGGATAACAGGGCATAAGCTTCACTCGCCAAGGTTAATAAAGCAAACACCCGTGCATCACATCAAGACGTCACTAAAATTGCTGTTTTACATCCAAGAGATCCCTGTTCAAAACCCAAGCCAGGTTCAACATAACCTTAAAACAGAGCTCCCTTTCATAACCAAACTCTTCAATTCACCTCGCCAAACGTAAACAAGACGCTAAAATAGAAAATTCTCGTGTTTTTATTTTGCGTGGATTTATTGGTTGTTCTTGATTTAATCCATCATATTAGGGCTTTTATTAGATATTTCTTGTTAATTAAAAATGTGAAGCTGAGTACCATAAAAAATGTAAAATTTCCTGATGGAATATTAGCTTCTCAAGAAAAACTCTGTTCAGTGCAGTTACTTTGTTAATTATGCGTAGGAATCTTACTGACTCATCAGTCTGGAACAATTAAACCGAGCGGGACAGAATTTTCAACACAAGCCCTACAACCTACGTCTATAAAAATTAAGGCAGAATTACTGCGGCTGTGGAAGCAAGCTACAGAGGAATCCTCATTTGCGGACGGACACTGATCAAATACCTCGGGCCTTGTGAAACTGCATCACATGACCTGTCAGGCTGTAGTGGACCAATGGACTGTGTCTTAACAAAACACTTTAGGATTATAATATATAAAATATAATTTACCTTTTATTTTTATGTCTCACTCTCAGCGAACATAAGTTGAGGCGTTGAACGGACAGGCATCTTCAAAATACGCAACCCTGCAGAGTCTGATCAAATCCACTTCCTCGGTAGCTGTGGTTTGAAAGGCTGCTTCAATTCAATTAAAAGAAATTTCTAATTGCACGTTTATTTGTTTTCACGAAAAAGAAAGTTTTACACAAAAGGAACAATTGGTTTTTGAAAATAAAAACAATTTTCTTTCACTTCTTATAAAATCATTGTTTACCGAACAGATTTTACAAACTCTTTGGCACAGTGGCCGAGCGAACGGAGACATTTAGAGATAAAAGCCTTCCGGAATGTTGTGCCATAGTCTGGCAAAAATTTAGTGACATTTCACAGGTGCGTACTGCCCCCATCATCAGGGTGATAAATATTTTGTCTTTCCCTTCAGTTCTGGGAGACAAAAGGTACCAAAAATCTTCCACTTTGAAGGACCACTTCCTCCGCTTCATTTCTGTCAAGTTCTTCACCTCTGCCCAAACATTCTGTGGGTATAAAACTTCGCTCCCCTCAGAAGAAAAATTTTGCTGGCCACTCTTATACAAATTAGAGGGATAGAAAAGGACATTGTGAGGTCTTCAAGATCCTCAAAGCAACAATAACCAAAACATAAACATAAAAACCTGAAGCTGCTGTCATTTTCTGTTCAGATACACAAAAAAAAATAAAAATGATACCGAACGCTGAATAATGACGAATGATACTGGAAAAAGGGGAAGTATAGCAGCACAAGAACTACGAGTCATTACCATCAGGTCACTAAAGGAGAGCTGAAATTCTCACGGCCATGCAGATTTGTACGCAGATATTTACCTTCAAGTCTACATGGCAAACATCAACATAATCAGCAGCACTAGCTCCCGTTCAGAAATTCTCACCGAATAAAAAATTGAACAAAAATAATTTTAAAAAATGCAGTGAAATTAAGACGCCATGTACAATATATATAAAAGAATACACGTATTTTGCGTGTGTTTTTATTCATTTCTAACACGCGACCTTGTGCTCGTCATGTTCAAGAGTCTTTTAATTACACAGAACAACACCTGGTCCCAAGCTTTGAAGATACGTGCGTTCTTTTGCTTTAAACATTACATATATATATATATATATAATGGAAATGCACTTAAAAAGTTATTATGCAACTGGATTCCTCTTCATTAATTCCAAATCTGATTCCATCATATCTTTCACCAAATCCTAGAACAAAATATAACATCGATTATCTCTAAATTGTGACTGTGATTACCAATCGGGATTTCAGATAATTTTACTGCAGTTCAACGAGGCTGCCCCCTCAAAAAAAAATCATGATCGCAATCTACATCATTAATATCAACTCTTTGAATAACATGTTTAAATTTGGTGGAGAAATATTTATTGCATACATTAATCCCTCACTTTCTATCTTGCATTTCTTCACACGTTTCAGACGTTTCCTAACAGTAACTACAGACGACTTTTGGAAATAAGCACAAAAGGGAAAAAAAAACATAAGTAAATATTATTTCTCATGAGATACCATAATCATTATCTACATATCCGTGTGTATGGTAATGGGAGATTAATTAAATAAGCAGGAAGATACTTTTTAACATTCACGACTACAAGATATTTTTTTATGTCTCTTCAATTACATACCTCAAATGTTACTTTTGGTTTCCATCCAAATTTCTCACGGGCTTTACTGGGATCTCCTAAAAGCAGCTCCTAGTACACGCAAAAAGTTTACATTAACCACGGAAAGCATTACCAATTTCAAAACATTAAAATCCAAGTGGGGCATACACTTTTAATTCCTCTAAAATTTGTATGCATCCTTCATGAAGTTCGAAAGACACATAAAATGCCACAAAGATTTTCCTACTTGCACTGTACTGTCCATAACCTGAAATCATCTGTAAAATAAAACATTTTTCCAGCCAGCATCACAACTGAGAAATTCTTTGCGAGTGCAAAGCTGAAAAACATCAAAGTGTCGCTGATTAATATCTACTCAACATGACACCAAAAATCAATATCACACATGTACAGCAAACACTTACTTGAACGATACATTACATTCGTCCAGATGGGCCACTCGATAAAATGTCAACAACTTTTGGTAATGGAAAGTGTAGTTTTACATCTACTTTTTACGGTCATGAAAAAAGCAAGACAAAAAAATCATACCCACCTCCCCCTTTCTACCCTCATCATATTTCTATTTGCACATCTGTCTCTCCCTCAGTATGAACCACTTTAAATCACTTCGCTTATTTCTGACAGAACCACCAACTTGCACAGTGAGTCATATTTGGTACGCTATGATGTGCTAGGTTGACACCACCTGCGGGTTTTCATGGTTTATCTCGGTCCCCCCAGGAAACACCAGGAAATTACCTTAAATTCAGTAGTTATTACTTCCTTCCACATCCTTTCCAATTCATCACTTAAAACTCATAATTTCATTTAACGTCGTATAATCCGAGCTGCTGGCAGGATCATTAATGAACTATAAATAATGAAGCTGCTAAATGAAGACATCGAACCAAAGCCACGTAAATAAAAAGTAAAAACTTACAACTTCAGTAGGGCGAAAGTATCTGGGATTTACTTTCACTCTGACAATGCCCGTGTCCTTTTCATAACCAACTTCAGCTACGCCTTTCCCCTTCCACAAAATCTCTTTTCCTACGAAGTTAAACGCAGCTTCAACAAATTCTCGTACGCTATG